CTGGCGGTGCAGCAACAAAGACTTTGAATAGGGGTATTTCAGAATTTATCGTGATGGCAGCAGATACTGAACCACTGGAGATCCTTCTCCATCTCCCTTTGCTAGCTGAAGATAAGGTATCCATTCCAATTTTTAAGCATTCTGTTCCAATAAGCAGAAAAATAAATTGTTTATGCCTCTGTGACATATGGGTTCTCTTTATAGCATATGGGATTGCATTTTTTGTTGGAGTTCTGTTCATGATAGATGACATGGATGCTCATTACAAAGCTGTCAATATGCTAATCTTACCTTATCAGACATTGGCTTGGTGGCAACGGTGGTATGGGTAGGAAAGTAGCTGTTAAACTTACGATGAGGCTGCTGTTTTCCTTTTCATAAAAGAAAAAAAGGAAAAAAAAAAGGGAAAAAAAACCTTACATTGCCCTTAGTATGGCAAGTTTCCATAGATTCTTCTTATAGGCTTTGAGTAGGCGTTCATGATCTTTTCTACAGTTTCTAGAAACATACAGGAAGTACTCAAAAAGCAATCAGCCATCAAATAGACAATATTCTATTGGGAAATGGAATGGTATTAGAGTGGCCAAGAGTGCTAGTTTTAGGCTTGTGAATACAAGGTTCTTGAGACAAAGAACTTTCATGTTCTATTGTGGGTTCCCTCTTGATATTCCATTTTCATGGTCGACATAATTTCATCTAAAGCATCATCTTACCTAGTGTACAATAATGGTGTAACAGAATCTGGGTTTTGTTTTGGAGTAGTGTAGTCAACCAGTATTAACACGACCCTATGAACCTGTTAGACATGTCAACTTGTGAGGAGCACATAAGTGGGGGTGTCACCACCTCACATCTGCATCTAGAAGTCACCCTCAGAAGGGATATCAATAATCTTGCAATCTGCGAGATTTCTCTCTCTTCTAGTTCCCATTATTGAATCCAACTCTAGGGTTTTCTTAGGGTTCCCAAATACTTGATTGACAAAGGTTCATCGGCTGGCTACTCCATGAAGGGCCTGCGACTGCTGTTCCTTGTTCCAATGAAGTATCTTGGGCCCTTTGGCCTTGGCTTTTTTGTTTTTTGTTCCATGAACGGTGATCATGTGCTGTCTGCTGAACTGAGGTCACTGAATCCCCAAGGCCTCTGTTCTTTGTTGACTAGTGGACCCAAGGAAGTGCAAAGTGTCCCTGCCCTTTCTTCTTATAGTTCTCCCTCACTCTTTACTCTCTGTCTCTCTCTTTGGCCATTGTTTTTCATCTCTCATTGACATATTCTCTCCCCCCCTTTCTCTCTCTCTCTCTCTCTCTCTCTCCTCAACTCTATTGCACAATCTTTTTTCTTTTATTTTTGTATTTGCATTTTTAGTTGGAAATCCCTTTGCCCCACTGTTAGATTGCAAAACCCTGAAATTTTAGGTTGGTATTCTTTTCATAGGATTCTTACATACTGCATACAATGTTAAGTTTCTCTACCTATACTTTGATGTATGTGTGCATTGGCGCAATAACCATGCTATATGTTTACCGGACTGATATTTTGAATTTTTTTTGCATGGATTAATTTTTTTATACACCCTTTTCTAAGTTTCCTTCTTATTATGGATTTTACATATCTTCTTATTTATTTATTTATTTATTTTTTACGTATTTTATATACTTTTTTATGCTAAAACAGTTGGGTTTGATGTCTCTGACACTTGCAAATTGTTGGACATCGATAATCTATAGAGAAATGTTGTAATCATCATTTTGATGATTTGAATTATTTGGTTGCCATTTCAAGTTCCAAAATTGATCATTATTTGTTGGGAGCTTCATATACCTATCAATGGCATGAGCACGACTAAATTCTCTTTTGTTGTGAAATAAAAGTTGCTAGAGCCATGAAGTCCTCATTTTACTCATATCTATAGGTTGTTCTCCATGATGTGATGATGTTTTGTAATTCTAAGACCTGTTTTTTCAACCTCTGCAGTCTAGTTCATTTATTGTACTAATTCTGCTTTTTCAAGTTTTTGAGATGATCATAACTCTATGATTTTCTTCCATGTTTTTGAACGATTATCACTTATTCCCTATTCCCTAGAGGAATAACAAGCAAGATACTAGCTCTAATTGGGACCCTGAGTTGGCCATGCCATGTTGATTGTTTCTAGCTAGGTAATACTATTATTGGAAATTGTGGATGTTGCAAATTTTTTTTGACATTTGAGCAATGAAGTAATGTATGAATAACCAAAACCACAACTACAAAGATCTTTGTTGATTAAAGAAAGAATGGTGAATGATACTTTCTATTTAATCAAATTGATTTGGTTTAATGTCATTGAAGGTAACCCTATGCTTTAGTAGCACTAATCCTTGGGTGATTTCTGGGGGGTTTCCACACATCCGGTGGCTCCATGAGACCAACAGGCCCTCTAGGATCTCTCTTGCTATGATGGATTTCTCAAATTTCATCGTGGACAACAATCTCCTTGAAATTCCTTTAGCTGTTTCCTCTTTCACCTGATAGGACCACTTTGCTATTCTACCTTAATAAAACTTGATCGTTTACACTCTCCAAACCTACATCTGGCCATAAATCTATCATTCTAGACACCACCCCCCGGTTCTAAACCTTTGAGGTTCGAACTAGCTTGGTTAGAAGAACCGGATATTGACGCCAAGTTTAACTTTTGGTAGCCCTCCTTTTTGGTCTTTGGTAGGGCTGGCTTTCGTATATAGAAGAAGCTTTGAGTCCTTAAATTGGCCATCAAAACCTGGAGCCTAAATATTTCATCGAACTTCACCTCAACCAAAAACTATCGTATGGATCACACTTAGAATCTTGATTCCCTTGAAGCATTGGGCCTCTTGATAAGGTGTCTCACGCTTGCAAGGAAGAGGGTCACTCCTTACTAGAGACTCGCTTCAAGAAAGAGGGGATATTATGTTTTCAAAGATCTCACATTAAATGGCTCAGGGTTAGAGATAGGAAGAGGGTCACTCCTTACTAGAGACTCGCTTCAAGAAAGAGGGGATATTATGTTTTCAAAGATCTCACATTAAATGGCTCAAGGTCAGAGATAGGAAGACAACCTTCTTCCATGAAGTTGCTAGCTCTTGATGGCGTGGGATCATCATCACAACATTGCCTAGACCAAGGGTCCTTGCCATCTCCTCCCACTTCTAGAACCTTTTCTCAGTTCAACTTGGTCCACGTCCTACCATATCACACCTTGGTTTCCTTTCCCTATCCTAGGGTGGGGCAAACAACTTGGAGGCTCCTTTTGTCCCTAATGAAATATGTAACACCATCGCTGACCTAGGTAATGATGGAACCCTGGGTCTAGATGGTTTTCTAGTTATCATCTTTTTAGGTTCTAGGGCGCCATGTTTTTCCGACCTCTCTTTCTTTTAGCAAATTCTACCATTGTGCGACTATTAATAGAAGCATGAACTCCATTCATTGCTCTCATCAAGGGTTCATAACAATTAGCCTCCTTAACACCTCCTATAAGATCCTCACCCAAGGTCCTGGGTTCTAGGCTCAAGTTTTTCCATGGTCACCTCATCTTTCCCAACCATATTGGTTTGTCTAGAATCGTCAGATCCTTGATGGGGCTCTGGTTGGTCAGAGGTTATTCATACTCAACACTTCTTCAAAACTCCAGGCCTGATCTAGAATCTCGATTCGGAAAAGGCTTATGATCATGTCAACTGGTCCATTCTTGAACAGGTCATGGGTCTCATGGGTTGCGGCCCTAGCAGGAGGCGTTGGATTAAAGGATGTGTTTCCTTTGCTTCCTTCTCGGTCCTCATTAATGGTTCTCAAAGGATATTTCCACTCCTCTATAGGGACTTCCAAGATGACCCCATCCCCCCCTTTCTCTTCGCTATTGTGGATGTAGTTTTTAGTAGGTCCGTATCCAGGCTCTATAATAGGGGTTGCCTGTTTGGTTTCAAAACAATGAGGATAGGTAAAACTGTTTCGCACCTACAAGACATAGATGACAACCTTGTTTTTGCAGTGCCTTTTGAAGAAGTAGATGCTATCTGGTTGTTCCTTACGTGTTTTTTGAGGTGGTCACTTGGATGCATATCAGCATTCTGAAATCCAAGCTTATGGGTGTCCATTTCCCTCATGATGCCCTTTATTATCCTGGCTTCCATATTAGGTTGTGCTACTGAATCCCTCCAAATACCTTGGCATACCTCTCTGGTTATCACAACTTCCATAGAAAGCTAGAATGTCCCTAGGATATTGAATCAGTCTCATCAATGCTACCCTTTTCCAATTTACCCATTTACTACATGTCCCTCTTCTTGATACGGAGCAGTGTTGCCAAATCCTTAGAAAACATTATGAAAGTGTCCTTATGGTTTGGAGACAAGAATCATAGGAAGTTCTTTCTTGTGGCCTCATAGGAAGTTCTTTCTTGTGGCGTAGGATCAGGTGGGCTTCCTTATGCACCTAGGTGTTTTAGGTATCCGAAACCTAAAATGCATGGATCTCACTCTTCTTGGGAAATGGTGGTGTTATGCCACAAATCCTGACTTTCTTTGGGGTGAGGCTGTCATGCACAAATATGCCTCCAACTCCCTCACCTAGTTTCCCCTTAAAAGGGCCAGTTGTCGGTGCTCAGGTTTCTATAGAAGCATCCATGCCTCTGGGGCCAATCTTTTCGATCTCTAAATTTCAAGGTTTATCGTGGAAACATGGTTTCTTTTTAGGCTGTTCTCTGGATTGGGGACGGTCCCCTTAATGAGAGATGGCGAAACTAAAAACCTTTTTGTAATTTGTAGCTTGCCTTCGGTCTCGGTTGCTGAGTTTTTCGAACCTTCCCACCAGCCCTTGCTATGGAACCCAACCTTTATAAGGCCCTTCATAGGCTTCGAAACCATTGACTTGCACTCCACAACCTCCTATTAAATTTAGGCTTTGTGAATGTAAATAAAGAGCTCTAAATTTCTTAGTAAGTTTTTTCAGCAGGTACAACTTTTCTCAATTGTTGTGTTTGTGCGTGTGTG